AATAAGATATATTGTAATAATTTTGAAGTTTGAAATATTGTAAGGTCTTAAGGAGGCCTATAATGTGTGAACAATGGCTGAAAAAAAGTCAATAATAAACACATCCATTATGAAAACCTTTTAGCTAAGTACAGCATAATGTACCGATACAACTTCTACACCTTGAAGCCTGTCTGTTACACGGTCTTACGTTAGCTGAGCAGATCAATATGCAATGTGTACCGTATCTGACATGCATTAAAGATTTTATTTTACCTAAAAATGCTGTTTACGAAACTGTAATCGTGTTAGCCACGCTAGCACCGAGTACAGTGTGTCAGGCCTAGGCACACTCAAACATTTGCCAACAACAGAAATCACTGATTTCAAAAGTAACCCTCAAAACCATGAATGCCCGACTTACCCAGCCTTGCAAGAACAATAGGCATCAGTGATCTTGTCCACAGCTATATTTATGCTGAGGGTGTGAGGATCTGCTGTTTTCCTCATCAACCGGTAGCATTTAGCTGCTACGCGCACAATGTTGGAGGCATCGCGTGGCTCAAACGCCTTGATGTCGTCCATAAAAGATGACATGAACTTGTTGGTTCCCCTGTCCATTGTCGTGGCTGATATTTTGTGAAAATCCGGCAGAAATGCTACACTAATCGACTCAGAAATACTTTGTAGAGAGTTAGTCGAAATGAAAGATGCTATGTTTACATAGAAACTAAGCTCCGCGAGGCTTTGTTTGTGAGACATGCAGCCACGTGGGATTTTAGGGGGCGTTTCTGGGCGGAGCTTGGTAAGGTCCATTGTCCATCTTTTCTTTTATGTAGCCATCTGTCCATCCATTCATCCGTCTTTTTTCGTCCATCTTTTTGATCGTCCATCATTCCATCCATTTTATCTTTTGTCCACCTATCCATCCATGTTTTCTTTCATCCATCTGTCAGTTCATCCCTCATTTTCTGTAGTCTGTCCATCCATTGTTCTGTCCATCTTTCTTTTATCCTGCTTTCTGATCTTACAGTTACTGAAGCAGTTTTATCTATTTTACTTTTTAAGTTTATCAAAATTTCTAGGAATTTCTACTGAAACTCCTCCTCCAGAACTTACACCCTAACACACACACACACACACACACACACACACACACACACACACACACACACACACGATTATTTCTCTTCGTCACTATTCAGAATAAGCAAAACAACAGTCAGTAAAACAGCACGTTGGGGTTATCAAGTCTTTAACAACCTATAGACGTGTCAACCAGCTGTTTGGTGTGAACCCAGGAAAATCAAACGTTTCTCAGTTCGATACACATTACCACAACCCTAATCCCACAAATGCTGCTTGGACGTTTCCTGGAAGTGCTAAAGTGGTGCAGCTCTGATGAATTGATGTACATATTCCACGTCTCTGAAGAGTCTCCTGTGTCGTTTTCAGGCCATCGTGTTGTGCTTCCGTCTCCACTTCACCAAGGACAACATCACCAACAACACGGCGGCCGCCACCGTCAGACAAGTCGTCACTGTCGTCTTTGAGAGGATGGTCGCCGAAGACGAGCGATTCAAAGGTCTGCATGATAAAAAAAAAAAAAACAATGAGCTGGAACAAAGATACAGTTTCAGATTTGCTGCTGTTGTTGCTTTAAAGAGATGTAGATCTGAATTTTAACAGTTTGTTTTTCCTACTTGGATCTAAAAGCTGTGGTGGCTTAAATGTTGTAACAATGTTCTGTATCTGGACTAAAGGCATTGCGGAGCAGCCTCCTCCCGTCCAGGGAAACACCAACCGGCGCTCTGTCAGCACCCTGAGGCCCAGCGCCAAGGACGCATACATGCTGTTTCAGGTTAGTCCACCAGGAGGCAGCAGTCCTCCACCCACCTCTCCATCATGAGTGTTTGAGATTATCTGTAATCTAAAGAAAGAAGTCAAAATGTCTAATTTTATCATCATAATTATGTGGATCTTAAAGCTGTTACTCTTGTCAGAATTTTCTCAATGGCTCCTTGTTTTCTTATGCTTGGCCTGGTGTTGATTACCCACAATGCCTCTCTGTGTGCGAGGGTCTCTATTCTCCCACCAGAGCTAAGTCAGTGCACTGTTTCTGCAAGTTGGATACAACTCTATTGTACCAGATGCTTCTGCCCGCAGGACCTGTGCCAGTTGGTGAACGCTGACGCCCCCTACTGGCTCGTGGGAATGACAGAAATGACCCGAACGTTTGGCCTGGAGCTGCTGGAGTCGGTTCTGAACGATTTCCCTGCTGTTTTCTTACAGGTACGCCCTCTCTCTTATTGAGGTAAATAAAGATGTTATTTCTGTGTCTCTATATTAATTTTGCTTTGTCTCCCAAAGCACCAGGAGTTCAGCTTCCTGCTGAAAGAGAGGGTGTGCCCTCTTGTCATCAAGCTCTTCTCGCCCAACATAAAGTTCCGGCAGGGCGCTGGCGCCGCCGCTCCACCGGCACCCGTGGAGAAACCCTACTTTCCCATTTGCATGAGGCTGCTGCGAGTGGTTTCAGTCCTCATTAAACACTTCTACAGCTTACTGGTAAGGACTCAGTTTACCAAACCTGATCCCAGATGGATTGTTTCTGTGCATATCATGAGCCTTATTCACTCATGTCTTTGAGTTTTGATACAAAGTACATTAGCTATTTCAAAAAAGCTGGAATTTGGACCTGTTAATTTAAAAGTAGTAAATGCGATCAGCATCGTTTATTCCTTCAGTTTCTGTGTTATACATCTGTCCACCTTGATAAGGAACAGAAGCCTAAAGTGAATACAACAATGGAGGATGAATAAATGGTTACGCACAGTGAATACTGGTGATCTTAGATGAACTGATGTGTTTTAATTCCTCTAAAACCAGTGATTATGTGTGAAATGTTCCTGTTTGCTTGTGTCTGTTTCACAGGTGACTGAATGTGAGATCTTCCTGTCTCTGCTGGTGAAGTTTCTTGACGGGGAAAAGCCTCAGTGGCTCCGAGCCGTCGCTGTAGAATCAGTCCATAGGCTGTGTGTGCAGCCCCATTTACTATGGTAAACACGCGTTTATCTATACGCATTCACTCATTTCATTTAAATTGATCCTGTTCCTCGTCTGTCTGACCTGAGGATCAGTGGCGATCAGTGGGGAGTCCAAAAGGTGCCGTGGCCCCATCTTGAAAAATGTCCAGATCATAGAAAGACATACAGAGTCATTTTCTTCAATCAAAACATTAATGTAAAACCCAATAAATGAATAAATAAATGTATGAATTTGTATTAATATACATATATGAAAAATATATATATTATTTATTTTTACTGGCCTGGTCTGGACACCCTTATTGAAATTCTCTGGGGGCGCCATTGTACTGAGACGTTTGCCATTCTTTTTTTTTTCTTTCTTGTTTTCATTTCCTCAAGTGTTCACATTTTGCTGGTCCCTTGTTTTGTGTGTGTTTCTAACAAAGTGTTCCCCCTCTCCAGCTCTTTCTGTCAGTCTTACGACATGAAGCAGCACTCCACCAAGGTGTTCAGAGATATCGTTAACGCTCTGGGATCCTTCATTCAGTCCCTTTTTATTGTCCCAAACGCTGGCAACGCTGCTGCTGTCAGTGCGCCTGCTGGTTAGTTACCTTCATGGTTAAGTTGGTGCTGAATATTAAAGAAAAAAAAAAACGTGTTAAAAGGCCTTTGAAATTTGATCTTATAAAATAAATGTAGGTGCATTTTAAATGTAAAATCTGTTAGAAATTGTCTATTTGAAACAGTGAAACGCTTTAAATAAAACTGCTTTTGTAGGAAGTACACGTTTTTTTTTTTTTTTCGTCACTCTTCCTCTCTAGGTGGGTCAGGGTCAGGGGTCCAGGGCTCGGCTCAGGGTGTTCCGGGCACAGGAGCGGGCGGCGGCACCTTGACCACACAGGCTGCGTTCGAATACCGCGGCACCTGGATCCCCCTCATGACTGTTAGCATCCAGGGCAGCGCCAAGGCCACCTAGTAAGGGTTTCCTTTCATGTTTATCACACTTTTGAAACTGACAACATATGTTCTGTACACACATTATTAATCGCTGTAGTGAAACTCCACTAGTAGTGCAGCTGATAATTGAATATTTCAGCAGAATCTTCCACATGCGGATACAAGAACCTAACTAGCTGCAGATGTTCCCAGCAGCTTGCTGGTTTGAAAAAACAAATGTTAGCCACCGAAAAATTCAAAATGGCTGCCATGGTCATCAAGGAAAATTTATTGTCGCACTAAAACTGGCGACATTTATCACAGTTGCAGACTTTTTGTGTCAAATCATACATAATTGTACCCGTAGAAATCACATTTATAGATACTTTTCTATTTTTCACAATAGTCACCATGAATGTCATGAAAAATAAATTTTTGCTCTAAAATTACTGTTTGCATTTTGAAGCATAGAAGTAATATATTTTTCCTTGATATCCTTTTTCTCTTTTTCGTGTGGACATTTTTCAAAATGGTTGTACTGGAGAATATATGTTTGCACTAAAATCAGCAGCAGTTGTTACCAGTTGTGGTCACGGCTAACCAAACAGTTTGGTTCGCCAAATGGGTAACATTTTATGGCAATAAATGGTTTAAAAGCCTTGTAAATGGCAGCCATCTTGAAAAATTGCCATCGTCTTAGAATTTAAGTAGCTAATGGTAAATATTAAAACCATCTGACCTGAGGGGTGACTATACAAATTTTTATGCTTGTATCCAGACTTGATTTTTCTCCAGTATTATTCTGCACTAAACTGTTATAATCACTAATTAACCATAATAGATCAACAGATTTGCAATAATCAAATCAAACCCGTATCTGCTTTATGCTGGAGTGAAGCTGAATGTTTTCGCATCTGATTCGGTCTCGACCTTCTCTCCCACCCAGCTTGGAGATGCTGGACAAGGTGGAGCCTCCGTCCATCCCAGAGGGCTACGCCATGTCGGTGGCTTTCAGTGCCCTGCTGGACCTGGTGAGGGGCATCACCTCCATGATCGAAAGAGAGCTGACCACGGAGGAGGAGGCAGCTGCAGAGTTCAGGGAGACTCACCCTGAGCAGGAATGGAAACCAGAGCCAGGTGGGAAGTAAAGCTTCCTCTGATATTTGCGTTAAATGTGACGACTGAATGTGGACAGGTAGAGTTTTGGCTAAAAGATTTTAGCAAAAGGTTCTGTAACCTTAGATTGTCAGTAATATGCTTGTAAGAGTGACATATGAAATAGAGATACAGACATCTCTTAATTTCCCAAAGCAATTTAAAGTCCAGTTAGCATCTCGTTTTTCTTTTCAGGGGCCCACTTGGTTTGGGAGGAGATGGTCAACGCCAGCTGGTGTGGTCTCCTGGCTGCCCTGTCTCTGCTGCTCGATGCAAGGTAAGAAAAAAAATATTAGTAGTTATTCAAACAGAAAATCATCCTTATCAAGCTATACTTACATAGTTTGATAAGTATAGCTTGATAATACTTATCTGTCAAATAATTATGTCAGACCTTCACCAAAAAATGAAATAAAATGACCTGAAGTTAGTAGTTGTGACACAAAATGTGGAAAAGTTAGCATTAGTTTAGAATTACCGTATTTTCTGGACTATAAGTCAATTTTTTTCTCATAGTTGCGTAGTCCAGAGTGACTTATACATGTCTTTTTCCTCTGCATGATGTGTTTTTTGGGATTTTTTTGGACTTGTGAGACGTAGTTGGGCTTTTATGTGCTAAACGATAACCACGTAAATGTTTATGCTTCCAGCACCGACGAGGCGGCGACGGAGAACATCCTGAAGGCGGAGATGACCATGGCGTCGCTGTGCGGCCGCCTGGGCCTGGTGACGCCTCGCGACGCCTTCATCACAGCCATCTGCAAGGCCTCTCTGCCGCCCCACTACGCTCTCACCGTCCTGAGCAGCAACACCTCCAACCTCTCCAGCAAAGGTTCCCACACAGTTTTTACCCACACAAAGAGACAATCTCAAGCCGACTACTGTTTGTTCACATCAAATCCACTGAATTAAGTTTGGATTTTCAGTGGATCCAAGCTTTCCAAATAAATATCAGAGTCTTGTTTTGGAAAGTTTTCCTTAAAGCCTGTTTGTGCGTTTTGCAGAGCATCGCTGAAGTCTTA